AAATAAAAATAAAGCTCAAATTCTGTTTTAGAAAGTCATAATATAGTAGTACCGGTAATTTTAACGACCAGATAAAATATAGTTAAAAAAAATAAATTATTTTCCGAAAAATTATCAATTATGATAATATTTAATAGATTATTACAAAAAAACGTATTAATTAAATAGTAATATATGAATAATAAAAGAATAATTATGAAAATAAAGTACTACGTATTAGATAAATCACATACCTCGAGAAAGACGACACGTCTAATCTCCACAACTTTCGACACTCGAATGACACCACCCCGCGCCGCGATTTCGTCTATCGAATTTCAAATTGGAGTGGGGGATTCGGTAAGTCGAGCATGGCACGAGCGTGGCACGAACGCGAGCCTAAAATTTCCTGGAAAGACCATTATAAGAAACATTTATAGCCTTGAGCATTAAATACAAAACAAAAGATATATGAATTTATACGTAGATAAACAGACTTAGAAATATACGTTGTAAAATAAAATTGACTATAATGGATAAAAGACATATGCGATGATAGTTTTTAACACGAAATAAAATACTAATAATATAATAATATAATTATAGTATATAATATTATGCATTATATATATGTATATTATTATTATTATTTTTATATTTCTTTATTATCAATAAAAAAGACAATAAAAATCTATACTAAATATATTTATCTTGCTAAAATAAAATAAATGTTTATATAAAAATCATCGAATTGAATAATTAATTGTTGTATAATTAATTACTTCTTACGTAAATTGTTACTTCTTCACTAATTAACCAATAATTCATATAAAGATTTAAAACAAATATATATATATATATATATATATAATATAATCAATTATGATATATATTAAAATGAAATATTAACCGACATCGAATACTTTCAAAAACTTCTAACATAAATTATATATAATTATCAACAATCAAATATATAACGAATAAAAGTAAAAAAAAAATAATATTAAAAAATTTTAATGTCAGTAATAATGCTTAATAAATAATTAAATAAATAATTATTAATTAAATAAAATTAATAATAATATTTAAAAATAATAACGGAATAGCAATAGATTCACAATTGAAATCACACATCTTATATCGAATTGTATGTTACTGCGATTTTTGGTAGCAAATTACTATTCCATGTGGATCGCCTACAGCAGCTTTCTAATTGGCTGTTGTAGCACAATTCTCTTGTCATTTAATACCGCGCGAAGATTTAAAATAATATATTATACGTTATAAAAGTTTTTTCATCTGATAAATTAATTACAAGAATATTTCAATTAAACATTTAAAAAATATTTTGGATTTTTCTTTAATGTATATAACTAAATATATTATAAAAAAATCAAATATTTTTATTTCAAATAATCAAATATTTAATCTAGAAAATATTTTTGTAATAAACATTGTATATAATAAATTTTAAATGCAAATATATAATTTGATTTTAGAATTTATTTTTATTAATTAATTTAAACTAAATTTACTTAAAAATGAATTTAATTACTAACTAAAAAAAATAATTAAAGATTTCTTTTGATATAAAATAATATATATATATATATATATAAATAATATATTATATATTAATAATATATATATTAACAATAAATATATTATTAATAATATATTAAATAATATATTATATAATATATATAAATAATTATATTTTTTTATTGAGAAATTTTATTTATATTTTATTTAATCTATATTTTACTATTTAAATAGACTATATTTTATAATCATATTATTATAATTCATAATAATATTCAATTCAATAATTTTATCAATTTAACAATTTACTTTTATGTATTTTTTATTTTCATATAATATATTTTTTTTATATTTTTTTATTTTTATAAAATATATATTTTTCTATTATAAAACTTTTACATTGCATTTTTACTTACAACATCTTAACACAATATTCTAGCAATATTCTATTTTAATCATTTTTGTTTTTATTTATTTTAATATTTTTTTCCCCCGTTTGTAATGTAGATATTGGAGATTATATAGAGAAGATATTAAAGAGACTTAATATATTATTATAAATTCTTTATTTTTATCACAGTCAGATTGTAATATACATTTCCTTTTCTTGTAAAATTCACATTTCTATTATATATCCTTTAAAATAAATTGGAATAAAATTTTTCCTAATGTCAAATCTAAATAGTAAGTTTGTTAATTAAACTGATAAATCGATTAATGTTATTAAGAAATGTAATGTTATTAAGAATGTAATTAAGAAATCTATGTTTATAATTATGATAGTTATACTTATATTTTCATAATAAATTACTTTGGACTTTGTTCAGAATCTGGAAATATATTTATTCTATTATTCATTAGTATTATCTATTATTGATGAGCTTTTTGAACTTTATAAACATGCAAAATAATAAAATGATCTATCTTAATTATTTGTTGTATTCTTTTTTCATTATAACTTGAACTTCTTTCTATTTTTTAGATAAAATATGCAAAATAAATAGTTTATTAAATATATATATTAATATTTCAACCACAGGTAACTATTTGATCATGTTATAATTTATTTGAAGCATTTCTGCCTTTGATATCGCTAAGTTTTATTTTATGACATAATACTTATATAAATGTATAAATGGACAATTAAAAAATATGTATCTTGTAGAAAAGTACTTATCTGAATATTTGATAGAATGTATTAAAAACATATTTTATAAATTATTAAATTTATTATTTTTCTGATTATTAGATATGTTGCATATTTTAAAGTAGATATTAATTCATTTAAATTTAAATTTTTCTTTGATATTCTAAAGCAATATTTTATTTATAATTTTATATAAAAACTTCTTCTATAATATATGTGTATATTATTCTATATTTTATTTGCAATATTACATAAAAATTTAGTTTCAATTCTAACCACTACTAATGTTGTAATCTTATTCTATGCTGGATCGGTAACATTGAGCATGACACTAAAATGGTAAAGAAACGGTTGAAATCCCTTCGACATGTTAAGCAAAAAAATGCATTGAGTGATTGATCTATTCTATGCTTTGTCTGTGTCTTTATCTGTTAATAAAACCAAAATTCATAATGTAACGCTAGATGGCAGGATAAACATATCTATAGTGTGAAAATATCAATATTTCCAAGACAATTTTGCAATCGTAACCTGAGTTGCATACAAAACAAACACACGATAAGATGTTTATCCATTTATTAAAACTCATTTCCTTATAACATTATAGAATATTTTATCAATGCGTATAACAGAAAAACAAATAATTTTTTTTAATGAATAAAACAGTGTTGTCATTTTACCGGAAGTAATAGAACATTGAGAGGGAAAATGATATACTTTTGGCGAAAGTTCATAACATCATCAATGTGTGTGTAAAGAATTAAAATTATTATGCAAAATATTCATACAAATTTATCGAAATGTCATACGATAAAAAAAAATCGTTCATTACGATAGTGCAATTAAATAAATGTTTGATAACAAATTAATGTTCTTAAATGATTACGCGAAAAATGAAACCGCCATTTTAAAGCGTTCAAACACCGTGGCGGCATTACATTTGACGTGTCATTAGTAAATATAATTTTTAGGATTAAATAAAAAGATTTAAACACATAAATCATTTAAAAAAAAAATTAAATTTATTCTTATGTCATTTTTGAAATAAATTTATATAAAATTTTATTGAGAAATTTATCTTTCAATGAACCTGCCAGATTGGGTATAGTTATCTACAAAAGTATGTACATCAGAGCAGCCATAATTTCTACTTACATGTGTTAAATGATAAGATCGCACAAGGCGCTTCTCAAGAAACATTTTCCTTATAAAAAACTGATACGATTTTGTAAATACAACATCTTTCTAGGATTAATGATTATAAAGTTATGAATTTTCAAAGATCATTTATTCAGAACATCCTTTCAAGTATGTTGGTAGTTACTGTACCGCTAAAGCGAGGAAGAAACCGAGTGGTCGCTTCGACAGTCGCGGCCTATTAAAATATCGCACTGATTGGATGCAATTACACGTGAATGTATCAATTTTTAGATATGATAAATACATATTTGTTACATAAACTAGTTGCATATATAAGCAAATACAGATTACTTCAAATCATTATATACTTCAATATATAAAATTCTTTGTTTCATAGACAGAATATTATAATTGTTATAGATAAAGATAATGAAATTCATAATATAGATGATACGAAAGATATAAAATAATATAAATCTTTAATAATAAAGACAACATCGTATTCTATGTAGTTTCATTCAATGAAAATAGAATCATGACTAATATTTACTGAACTATTAATTTTTTTTTAACATATCTCTAGAATGTATACTGATTGTCATATGATGCGACTATATGCCCGACGCTATGAATCCAGAAGTGGTCGCTTTGTACAGTCCATTTCGATAAAACAGCTCGAAGGATCATGAAAAATTATATTTCAATCTGTTAAATTATACTCATTATTGAATATAAAACGGTATAAGAAATTTGTAAATAAAAAAAAAATTTTTAAATATAATATATGTAATATTCTTTCAAAATATCGAAAAATCTTATTATATTATTGCAAATATATTATCTGGAAGTAATAGTACTAGGTATGTGAGTCGACTGTACCATAGACGCCACCGGCAGCCACGAGCGGTCGCTTAGTACAATCACTACCAAAAAATATTTGTGAACGCATTGGCGAAACATCAAAATAGGGTCATCCGATCGCAAAATTATGAGTAGGGCGTCATGAGAAACTTGTAGATCATAAAAAACTAACACGATTTGGTGTATATAGTATTCATTTTTAACGTATCCCTGCCAAGATATCCGTATTTAAAGTCTCATAAAGTTAACGTATTTTCGACTCACTGTATAGAGTGACTGTACCAACGGACGCTACGGGAGTCCGCAGCCGGCATAGGTTCAGTTGGCAGCAGTACGCACAGCGAGAAAGACGACCATGGCTGATATTTCGAACGAAGAACTTCGTAAAGAAATCACCGGTAAGTAGCAATATCCTTCGATTTACCGAACTTTGGCCTACGAATATAACAAAATTAAGTTAGTAACCATTCATGGCTCAAATTATTCGTACGTTTGTGAGTAGGAATATGTAGGAAATCAGGCTCTTTGCTCTTGCGACGTGACGACTTTAACGCGCACGTATGTGACGAAGTGGCGTGCCCCACGCCGGCCATTACAACCACGATTCATCATATTTCCACTTACGTACAGCTTTATCGGAATATTGTATCGCCTAGCCGTTTCGTGTAATCTACTATTGAATTTTTTATATAATTTTTTGATGTCTTGGAAAAATTTTGATTTTTCCTTGGTTTTCTAGAAATGAACGCTTTCCCTATATTCTGTTCTATAGTATGCTGTATGACGCGTCTAACTGTGGTGGCGCGCGCCTGAAGCCATCGCATGCTTCATATCTCGCTCTTTCTCTTGTCTTCAACGACTTTTGCACCATGAAAAGTGATCTTAACATGGACCGTGCCCTCATTTTCTAGAATATTTCAACGGATTCTGCTTTTTTCTTTTGTTTTACCAATCCAAATATAGCCTCGTCCCTCGAATTTTACACGCTTGTTACAGTTGCAGTTACGGCGTATTTTGTTGCCACGAATATTCACTAGTTTTTACCTTTCCCGCCGCCTCAAAATGGACATGATGTTTATACTTTATTAATATTTTTTCCTTAATTTTAAGTTTTTATATTCAATCGCTTGTCTTGAATTTTCACATAAACTGCTAATTATACCGATCTGTATGAACTTTCATCGTTTATATATGGTTGAACTTTTAGCTATTTTTCGTCATTCCAAGGTCCAATGTATTTTACGATCGATCCACTGATGCAAAGAAAGCAGTTTTATAAACTCAATTAATTTATTATATTTTCTCCAAGAAATTTACTTTCAGAAATTTTTTTTTTTTTTTTTTTTTTTTTTATAAAAATTGGCAACCGGCACGATGAATAGCGGCCATTTTCGTTCAATATTTACTAGTATTCTGGCGCGGGAAACTTACATTATTCTAAATTTTATCTGATATTATATGTTTTAAATTCTAATTGATTTATACTATTATATAAACATTATCTTTTATTAATAGCATTATCATTTCTTGTATTTTATAACATTTCATATATTAAGTATGAAAATAAATTAAAGTTAAAATTTATACAAATAAACTGTCTATTTTTAGTTAAATTTCGAATATTCAAGCTAAGAAAATTTTTTGCATGAAATGGAAATATATTTTTATGTTTAGCTATCCTTAAGGATGCAGATCTTACTACTATGTCAGCTAAGAAAGTAAGGCTACAAATTGAAGGAAAACTTGATATAGACCTTACTGAAAGGTAAGAGCTTATGTAAATTATCATCAACATTCAATATGAATAAATTTCTTATTTTACTTTATATTTCTAATAAAGAAATAGAAAAAGAGAGGATATATGTTTTTGGATACAGCAGGCGCTCTTGTAATTAAAATGAATCAAGAGTGAGATTATCTGTATCCGAAATAAAAGCAAGGTTCTCTGTGTGAAACTATTCCTTTAAGTTTTCACCTCGTTCCACCTTCAACATTTTGTTTAATTATTAAATATAATTTCATTTATAAGTTTTACTTTGTATTTAATGTGGTGATAAATTTTATGGTAAATTTATGTACAGGAAAAAGGAAGTAGACAATTTAGTCATGGAGTGTTTACAAGAAAAACAAGATGGAGCAAAGAAAAAGAAGAAGACCGCTAGTGAAGAATCTGAAGATGGTGAAGAAGAGGAAGAAGAAGGATCAGAAGAAGAAGAAGAGGAAGAAGAAAAAAAGCCAGCCAAAAGGAGTCCTGCAAAGAAACAAATTAATAAACGTAAGAAAGGATCTTCTGATGATGAAGAAAGTGCAAGTGATGATGATGCTAGTGATGAAGAATATAATCCAAAGAAACCAAAGGCAACACCTAAAAAAAGTAAATAAATTTAAAATATATATATATTTGTTCCTCTTTGATCCTTTTATTTTTAATAATATTTTTAATAGATAAGCCTGGCAAGAAGGGAAAAAAGAAGGGTAGTGACAGCGACAGTGATGAAGATTGGGGTAAAGTTAAGAAAGCTCAGGGTGGAGGAGCAAAGAAAGGTGGTGGAGGTAAAGCTAAAGGCGGATATACTCGTGCTATCACATTGTCTCCGGAACTTGCTGCTGTTGTTGGTGCTGAACAAATGGCTCGACATGAAGTTGTGAAAAAGATTTGGAGTATCATTAAAGAAAGGAATCTTTATGTAAGTATTAAACTATATGTTATTTTCTTATTTTATTTTCAACATTTTAATATATTTTATTTTATAGGATCCTAAAAATAAGCAATACGCACTCTGCGATGATGAATTATTGAAAGTAATTGGAGTAAAACGTTTTAGAACTTTTGGTATGATGAAGTACCTCAAAAATCACTTTGTAGATTAAATCATCCTCGAACCACGAATTCTAACAGGTTATAAACATTGTATAACGTATTCCAAGATGCAAAGTGCATCTTTCCATCTTTCTCACACGATACATAAATATACATACATACAAACACAAACATATTTCTTGCGACTTAAGACTTTAGCCATGTTTACATCATTCCGATAAACTCTGTTGTCCATGGTAGCTGCTTTATCTTATTGAATATAATCTTATATTCGCGATGTAGCATCTTAATTTATGGGCATTATTAAAAGCGCGGCTCGTTAACATTGTTAAAAGCTGCCCAAAATGTGTATGCAAATGATGACCCACAAGTAGGAATCTATATAGATTTGATCAATGTCACGATGATATAAAAAGGAAGGGTTGATACCATGGACGTGCGGATGATTTCGAAATGTGGAAAACATTAAAATGGCCAATAGTCAATAAGCTGGTTTTAAGTCAATGTATTCAAAGTTAATGTTTTATCGTTTGCCTGGTGGTTCTTGTAAACAATCCTTTTTCACCAAGCATGAAAATACGGTGTGCCATTGTGGCAGTAAAAAGTGAAGCAGTAAAAACTGTTTTAAATTTTTTTAAAATGAATTTTGTTTTTTTTTTTTTATTTTATTACGTGACAGTTAAAAATTGAAGTAGATTAAATACTTAGATTAAATAAAATAATATTAATAATGATAGCTGATTGCGGTAATGCTTAATTTTTTTTTCTAATTTTTTTTTCTTTTTTTTTTTTTTTTTTCTAAATCACTATTGCCGCCCAAAAATCACACGATATTTTCATCTTTTTATTTTAATATTGGTTACTTTCTGAAAATGGATGTAACAAAGGGACAATTTTTCAAACAAAGGAGAGAAAGAGAGAATGGGAAGAGATATGTGGTAAGTTAAAAAAAAAAAGTATGATAAGAATTAAGAGAACGACGATGCGAAAAATCAACATCCTGTACCTCTTCTGTATAATTGTTACATTATACACTGAAATTATTATTAAGCGAAATTTAATTGTATTATCGTGTAATTACTAATTATTGTCGTAATATAGGTTTCTTGGTGTAAAAAATTGACCTAACTCTTAAGATTTAATGGTAAAGTGATGTATTCAGTAAAAGTATGATGCATGCATATTAAAGATCACAGTATGCGCAGCATTGCGCAATGTTGAATTGTAGAAAGTAAGATAGATTGATGATGCGAGATGCGGAATCCTAGTGTGGATATACACATCTCGTTGTATGGAAAAATTTGTGTATTTTGAATATAAATTAATGAATGCTGGCCTAAATTAATGGAAGCCACGAAGAAATCATTGCAAACATTTGACGATAATGAAAATATTACGCGTGTTACGAAGTAAATTATAATAATAGCAGTTTGTTTTCTAAATGAAAAAAAAAGTACAGGTTATGCCAAGATATTTCGTGAATGTATTTGAAAACATCATTAAAAAGATATTGCTTTCATTTTTTTTTAAGAGTGCTCTTTATAGCTTCATTCTATCGTGAATACCTTCGGACACCTATCCAATATATCCTTTAAGGCTAATGCAAAATTTATATATGATATATTATTCATAAGTGTTTCAGTTCGGTTTCCAAGAAAGATACTACATGTTGATTATCATCGTTCCTCCCCCGTAGACCAAAGATATAAGTTAAGAGTTTCTTTGTATTCGTGTAATTATCTCTTCTTGTTTGAACTTCTTTGTCTCGAGGCGGAGCTGCTTGTACATAAACACCGTATCTGAAGTTGGATTTATGTGTTTGAGTGCTGCGTGTTTTATATCGACTTATTGTTGCCTAGAAAAAGGAATGAAGTCGCTTTTTTTTCTATTTTATTCAATCTACATTATATTTATTGATAGAACTTACTAAATGTAACGCTTTATTTCTTAATTCCCAGATATTCGAAGAATAATTCTTATCGATGAATGATGGAAGTATATGCAAATCTGTTTGAACCATTTGATGGTTACAAATTTTTAACTCGGGACCTTGTTCTGATATCCTTATTAATTAAAATTCTCTATTAAATAATTTTACATTAAATTTAAATTAATATCATTATTAAATACTTACATTTCTTGAGTTTGTAAAGCTCGAACATCATCGTATACTTGAAACAAATATACGTATTCAAAATGATTGCGTATAAAATCAAGACCTTCGTAAACGTATCTGTGACAAATTTATTTATCTAATATTTTAATACTTTTGTAGTTTAGTTTTGTAGTTTAACAAAGACATACTTATCAGGATTTTTTCCAAATTCTTTCGCTGCCTCTATTGTACAAAATACATAATATTTTCCTTTCCATTTAACGACACCATTATTCGGATTTCCCGGGATTAATACTCCTTTTCTAATGAACATCCATGCGCAAAATCCTAAAAACTAATGGCGAATTCATTAACCTAGAGAAGTCATATTTGGTATGAATCTTGGTATACAATCTTCAATTTTAATATCTTCACATTACCTCTAAATTTATGTTCTCGAAATCCACAGTATCGTTAGGATAATAAATAGTACATTGGCCACACTCGTCTAAAATAAAATTTTTAATTTGTAGCATCTAGTTTTTTATCTGATATTATAATATTAATTTGCAATTTATTTTATAACCTATTAATTCACCCATCGATAGTTCTAATCTTTCAGCATCTGTAAGTACTTTTCTGTCGGACAGCATATCCAGAATTAATGTTTCATTGAATGTGTTCACGTAATTCTATAATATATATATTGCTATATATTGAATTTTTTTACTTCATTGTTTTATTCGTATATAATTATATCGAATAATTACCTTTGTAGTCAAAGTTTGAAATTCCCAAAAAAAGTTGTTAATACCACTTATTATAATCACTTCATCCTGAAGTCCCATCCATATATCAGTTAAATCGATGAATTGTGGCTAGAAGAATAGTCAAGGATAAATTAAAACAATTATAAAAGGAAAATTCGCAGAAAAAGAAAATATATAAAATGATTTCTTACATATACTTCAGTACTAGGAATCGCAGTTTTATACCTCACAGTGTCATGAAGTTTAAAGAAGCGTTTTTGAAGACGTTCTAGATAATTTTGAACCTCCTTTTCGCTACGATCTATGTCACTTAACAATTTTCTACGATGAAAAGAACGATTAATTATCGATATTAAATTATTGTTATCGAACATACCTAATATAAATCTCTTGTTGCCGGCATACTGTTAACATTTCAATTGCCCATTCTATATTCGTTTTTGAAAAAATATTAATTGGTAAGTCTTTTACGAAACATATCTTTTCTATAATTGCAGTGAATTTGTATATTTTTGTCATTAAATGTTCTAAAAATTCCATAATAATTTCGCGACTTTTTTTTATAGCTTTTTGCAAAATGGCAGGTACTGAAGAGATAATTTGCGTTAACGATTTATTTTTTTATTAGTATATTAATTTTAATCATTTTCAAAGACTTACAATCGTCAATCCCTTCTCCTCCACGTTGGCAATCTCTGTTAAACAATCGTATTCCTGCGACTATGCACATTAATTCCATTAACTGTTCTTCCTTCTCACGTTTAGACATCTTTACATAGTATTCCAATTCCAAAGGTTGAAAAATACTTCTCAATGTTGTTGAAACTTCTCTGAAGTAATAAATTTTATTTCCCATTAATACAAATAATATAAAAAATATAATAGCAATGTAATATTTATAAATTTAGCATTATTACTGAATTACTCCAATTACAGTAGGATTTCCAAGACCACTTAAAATAGTGATGACCGTCAATATCTTTTGATACAATTTTTCAAATTCCTGTTTATTTGCAATTTTTTCAGTTTTACAAATTTCCGCAACCAATGGTCCACTTTTTTGATGCAATCGCAATCTGTATCGTTTAACGACTTCATCTAGGGATAGAAAACATATTTGATTATGTAATTATTATTTATAATTATTATTTCGAATATTAAATACATTTAAATAGATTTTCACCTCTAGCATGATAGTGTTTTGAAAAATATAATTGAATTTTTAATATTGTTAAACTTATTTTTTTTTCATCACATATTTTTTCAACTATATCTTTAATAAGATTCTCAATATTTTTCTCGTCATCCATTTTATATATAGGATTTAAAAGAAATAAAGTAATCTGTGAAATAGATATATATATATATATAGAAAATAATATTTTGCATCAAAAATTAACATTAAATAATTATTTAGGTTAATTCAAAATTAAAATTTTTTATAAAAGATACATACCAAAAAAGAAACAAAATCCTCAGTTGTGCTTACGTTTTGTTCCAAGCACATAATTATTATTTTTTCTATAATTTCCTTTCGCAAGTTTTCCATAATTAAAATTCAATAACTGCTTACACAAATTAAAGTAATGTCGACCTTTCAATTTTCCTTGTAGTTTGATCAATATTTCAGAACTTCGATCTCTTGTATTAAAAGTTTAATCTTTTTGTTTAAATTTTATAATATTGAAGCATTAAAGTTAATTTATTTAGCTTTTTAAAATGATTTGAGATAAAACAATCTTCTGGTTAATTATTCCTTTGTTTTTTAATAACTTATTAACTCTGTATATTTCTATCATTAATATCAGCTGATCATAATTTATATAATATGAACGTCAAGAGAAAAAAAAGAAATCAAAGTATTATAGATAATTATTATAAAAGAATAAAAAAAACATAAAAAAAATATATATATATATAAAAAACGTAATTTGCGATTTAAATGACGACTATAATCGGCGCGCTTCGAGCTCGGCAAAGTTCGTGAATGTTCGTAGGTTCGATGGCTCGATACACAAAAGTGGAGGGAGAGGGGGTCTGGATGAAGCTCCATCAGAGGTGTTGCAACAGTCCCAACCGACGGAGCAGTCGGGTTGGGTGGTTAGTACGGTGTGGAGTGCGTGTAACGAAAGTAGATAGAGCACGGAACGCAAAAACGTGATTACCGGTTGTCATGACGTTTGCGTGAGCTTTGTGTATTGCGATTCGCCGCCTAAAAAACATGTTGAGTGATATCTGGTGCTTGAATTCGCGATGTACCGTCGGTGCTGTGACGGTGCAGTGCAAATTAGTGCTAGTTTTGGTGCTACTCGCGATCCTACCTGATGTACACACCGAGAATCATGGTAAGTTATTAAATAGTTTGCCAAAGAAAAAATCAAGCGGAATAATTGTTGTCTATCTTCCAAGATATTTTTCAATAACGCAATTATTCCAAATTTCTTTTGACTTTGTTCGTTTGTTGTTTGAGAAATACATTACCACGTTTTTTTCAAATCTATTATGAAATTTCATAAATATTTAATAATTAATTTTCATTATTATTGTAAATTGTTTATTATGATTTTTTTCTGTCATTCGTATATACCATTCAATCTGATTGGCTGTCTTTACAAGAGTACAATATATGCACTTTGTATATATCTTGTATACATAGATATACTTAGCTATATTAAAGTTATATTGTTCCGATTTCATTGCGGTGAATACATTTCCTCGCTCGCATTATCGAGACAAAAGCTATCGGTTAATACTAATAAAGCTAATATCATAAAATAAGAAAGTTAAAAGTTTAATTTATTATTTAGATGCAATTAATAAGGAAATTTGCATAAATATAATATATGCGTAAATAGCAATGAAGTATATAACAGTAAGCTTTCGAGTGACCAAACAATGCAAACCTCACTAATGCGAATATAGTCTATTTTAATGCATACATTAACCTTTGCACATCACTCGACATTTCTCTGACAAAAGGCAATAAAAGTAACTGAATATCTACGCTTGTTTTATCGAAATGAATGTTTAACGTTAAAAACAAAAAAACATAGAAAATTATAGCTGTCAGAAATTTATCTTCATCGCATTTTGGAATAGAAATGGGGTGAGGGACGTCAGAATCGATGAAGATTTATGAACAAACTATAGGCTTAAATAAATAATTATCTTATTGATAATTTATAAGAAATCTGTTTGAAACCCATATCATGAGATGTGTGTAATAGGAAACGATATTAGATCTGTGCACACTATACATATATACTTAACCTTTAATGCTTTTTTGATTCTATGCTATCTGATATGGAACAATTGCGTCATCTTAATCTAACGCAAGGTTTTTAATCTATCGATTTTTTTTTCTAAAAAATTTAATTTTCGAACGGCCAAAAACGTTGGCAAAAAAAAGATCGATAAAAATAAATTTTTCAATTTGAATCAACATTTCGTTAAATATCATGCGTTACGTTAGAAACAGAACAATTAGAAACTCGAAACAAAAACTAACGCTCTACAAAAGAATATGTAAATGGTTGACTCGTTGCAACACATTGTTTCTACGAATTACAAACTCATTGCATCTGCGAATATAATATATATACGTTAACGAATTCATCAAGTTTCTCTCTGATTCTGGTTTCTTAGTAAAACTACGTACATTTCTCGCATTAACATCTCTTAAATACAAGCGGCACAGATATGGGCTCTAAGAAGGAGAGGAAGAAAGTAACAACGGCTTAATTATTCGCGGAGGCGCACAATCTCGCGTCGCGTATTCGTTATTTTCTCGTCCTTCTTGGAACACTCGCCAGTCCGTGAAGGTACTCGTCGAAAGTCCTTGAAAGAATCTATAGTTGGTCGGCTCATCCGCCGCTATGGATTTCGCGCAACGCGAAACGACGACAATTATCCACGAAACAATACGTTTATCGACGTCATGTTGCAAGTGATAGGAATCGTAGCCTTGCTCCTCTTTTTGCCGCTCGTTCGATTTTGTTCACGCAAAATTTTAACACATATTTGCAAAAGAACGAATATATTTTTCTTTGTTTATTAAATTAGAGATTGACAGAGATTGAGTATATTTATGAATTTCATCGAGAGAAGTAATAGAGAAGACAATAGTAATTACGTTCTCTTACGTTCATAATTGCGTTTATTATTAATCGCTAGAAACGAATTCAACAATTACCTTTTAAATTCTATCGACGAATCGAACGAAAAGTTAATAAAGAGAGAAAGCACTTGCAAGTAGACAGATGTTTGCTACTTCCGTCACGTTCGTATGATTCATGATTCATCGGAGGAGTCGATCTCTAGCCAATATACATTCAAAACGAGCTAATCATTTACTTCTAATCGATGATTAATCCATCCTTCTCGGAGGCGTCGACGTGGTCGAGTGGTCTTCGAGTCGATAGGACTTCGAGTTGATAATACGTATATTTACACGCATATTTATTCGTTCGTGTTTGATAGACCATCTAAAAAATTCGTTTAATCGCGATTTTTCCATCGTCGTCTCATCGAGATTTCAAATTCACGGCACAAAGTAGCTCCTCCTTTGAATTACGTCAATACATAATTATACATTTCTTTAACGGCAACGAAATGCATCATATCACGCATACCACTTCCATTTTTCAATTTATATCGCTTTCTCATCGAAGAATCATTCAAATCGTACCTCGTTTGCAAATCAAATGATTCGTTAATTCTCCCTTCTATACGTTTTTATTCGACGAAATATTAAGCGAAACGTTGGATAATTGTAACGAATACGAATACATTTCAGTTCGCGTTCTAAAGGAAAGTTAGGTTAGGTCCGATTCGAAGACACGCGACAGTCAGAGGTTAACTGAAACGGACGGTTGCTAGGAACGTAACGGTATATAGCCGTGTTCGTAAGCGAAAATGATTCACGGATAGAACCGTTCTATATTTACATGGAACGAGTTAAAGCAATTTCCATCAGCCTCGATCGGTTGGAAACGGTTGGACGGCGCGACGGTTCGTTAAGCGGTCGATCATAATTATAAGCGGCGTCTAACGGGGAAGGTCGAATTCACTACGAACTTCCGTTTATCGGTGACTCGGTCGGCTCCGAACAAACCGATTTACGACTGTCTCGTAATACTCGCTCGCGCACAAATTCTCCATTCTCTGTCATTCTGTTTTTCGTATGCCGTTCGTGGCGTTTCCTGTTCTCGGCGACCGATATCGAGATTCATACCGGTTTATACTCGTGTCGGAGTTAATCATCGGTGTCGATTAACGTCGCGCAAAAGTCGGTGCAGACGTGTATGTCTAACTGTAAAGCACAGGGACACGTGTTTCCTCCTCGTTATATGCATATACGGAGAAATCTTTGGCGCACGTGTTCCTCGCGATTGAAAGGACAAACGAACGTGTTAAATCGTGGAAAGGTTCCCGATTGTTCTTTTGTTGTGTTGCCACGTGTTCCTTGATTCACGGGGAGACAATAATTAAGAAAGAGCGATTCGATTTAAATGGATCCTTATCTCGATCAACGTTCGCGATTTCTTCAATTTCCTTTTAAATATATCGCTCGAAATTCCCACTTTTCTCTTAATTGTTGGTAAAAATTCACATTTTTATCCGATTATCGACAAATTAACCGAATGTCATTAACTCGTATCGCATAGAAAGTTAACAGAAATTGTCGCTTCGTTTATATTCGATTGTTTGCACTCGATGAATAATTCGTTTAATCGTAGAGGTAACACACCGCTGAAAGGGCAAATTGTTAATCGATCAAGCATCGACGAACACGAAAATCGTGGACAAATAGGAAAACAATGACGAATCCTCTACGCCCATTAATAATTAATCAGGTATCCTCGTCCAAGATAAAATTCATATTTTGCGTCGCTTTATATGTAAAAACAGATTTCACCGATCCGTGATCCGACGCTCGAATTGAAAATAATAATAAAGTTTACCCAGTTCTGAGTTACTTTACCGTGAAATTTCATCTAATTCTTCTACTTTTGGAAACAATTAAATCGTACTTGACTTGCAATCGAAAAACCAAGTCTCTTTCTTTTTGTTAAGCCCGAGAAAATAAAATTCTTTAGAAAGAAAGTTTTTTAGTTTCTCGAACTAGGGATTCCCAACCCCTTTCTTAACCACGAAATCTCGAAATCGCTTTAATTCTTCCCCCCTCGAAAATTCGAAATCGATCGTTGTTAAATCGCTTCGTGTTTTAGAACGGGTCTCGATCGAAGTCTCGGATCGAAGATCGAGTTGGAACGAAATATATATACCACGGCGATTCGTTGGACAGGGGGTGATCGACGATTTTCATTTGCACGAGGCTTGATTAAACGTTGCCCGGAGCGACTGTGACGGGGCAACAATGCGACTGCGAGAAAGGCAATGGAACCTCGCCGCGCCACTTTACATTCTTCTTCATTGTCTGCGCGTTAAAACGAGCCGCCGCCACCGCCGCCGACGCGTCGAGATCGGGCAAGGAAAAAACTGTCGCGGTGTCCCGACGAGGGTGCGCGACACCCCTTCACCCCTTCGTTCCCGAGAAAAAACGCGCTTTCACAAAAAAAAAAAAAAGGAAAACCACTTTTTTTTTACAAAAGTTCACGCTTTTGCGATAAAATTTCGCATAGCCCTACAGAAATTTCGGACGACTTATTCGGTGAATCCGTCGATCCTCTGATATAAGATACAACGAGTGCAATTTTTTGACAAAAGTAAGAAAAAGAAAAAAAACGATTTTAGTTTTATTGCGTATCCCAAATAAGTTTTTTAACGATCTATGGTTTGAATGGCGAGCCAAAGTTTAAATAAACTTCGCCGAATTTCTGGACTTCTGAATAAAACGCGCCAAGTTTCATTTTTTCCTTGAAACTGCTCGGAACTTTTCTCCTTCCTTCCTTTTTTTTTTTTAAAGAAATCCGTAACCAGAATCGATGTTCTCCGAAAAGCCGATTTAATTAGCCCCGGTCGAAATCGTAGATTTCTTACAAAGTTCGATGTCCCTAGGAAGATTAAAGAACTTGGAGCAGAGAGTTTTTTGACGAGCAGATTTGCCCAATGGACCGAACAGTGGCGTCACGAGCAGTGGCAAGCTGAATTAATGCGAACGAAAAACTTATCTCCTGCAATTTTGCTCGCAGTATCAATTTTTTTCTTATCGATTCATTGCAATTCATCGTATTTACCATAGATTGTTGTTTCGAAGGATTATCACGAATCTCGAAGGTGAACGCTTATCAGGTGTAATACGATAATTGTGATAACGCGAAGAACGTAGTAGAGCAAAGTTGTTCTGGGGTAAACATAACGGGATTACGACGTTTCACAATTT